AACTGCTTGTTTTCTTAAAAAAAAAAACTAACTCTGGTTTCTCTAATCTTTTTTGTATTCTATCTATTTGTTTTCTTTTTATTTATTATACAATTAACAAAAGCAAAAAAGGCATCTAACACTAGCTTGCTCTATTCTTTTTCTATTCGGTTTTCTTTTTATTTATTATATGATTTAAAATTTAAAAAAAACTTGCTACGTGTACTGCATTAAGCTAACTGAGACTTGTTATTGCACTTGCATATCATTACTCTTTTGTCGATTTTGATTGCTTCTATTGTCCTCATTTTGAGACTTGTTATTGCACTTGCATATCGTTGCTCTTTTGTTGATTTTGATTGCTTCCATTGTCCTCATTTGTAAGTCGCTTTGGATAAAAGCTTCTGCTAAATGTAAATGTAAAGTGTCTATAGGAAACACCAGTAACAAGCATTTATATGTTCTTTTCTTCATTAGAAGAATATGATCAAAATAAAACAGTGGTGCAGTATAAGTGCAGTGGTGAATACAAAGACAACGTTTATAGAGATTTTTTTTTAGCAGGCACCTGTTCCTCTTTGCCTTTGATTAGACATTAAATAATAGTCTAATAGTCAATGGAACAGTTTATGGAACCTTTAGACTATGTATAACACACACACACACACACATATATATAAATAATAAAAAAATTGTTTTGTATTGTATTGTTTTGATACACCAGGCTTAAGTGGCTCTCATAGTTGCTGTTATTTATATTGCCAAAATATAAGTTCCAAGTAATTCTATAGCTTGTAATGTAAATCAATGAGATTTATAACAGTTTAGCACTTTATAACAGTATAGCATTTACAGACAACTTGCATAAATTGCATATAAATACTAGTTGTTATACTATTTGTCTGAATAATATGTCTTATTAAGATGATACTTAAATGTTTTTATGGTCAAATCTCCTTGCCAGCTAAGCCAATGCAATTGTAAAATTTTTACAATTTGCCTTAAAATATATTTTGAAAACATAAAGAGAAGTAATCACGAATTAAAAGGATTCACCATTTTAAAATTAAAAGAGAAATAAAAGAGTTTTATAGTATTGAATAACTGGACAGCAACATATAAAGGTACTTCTAGGCACCTATTCCTTTCCACTTGGATTGACTTGATTCGGAAACATTTTATGTTTGTTTCCTGGTTCTAGTGCTATAAGCGAGGTTCATGTTTCCGGGTTGAATTCAAGACTGTCAGTGGAAGGCTGCAGAACTGTATCTGTAGAAGTTGTCAGCACTGTCTATTCTGAACTGATGCAGCTCCTGGTTCAGTCACTCTCTCTGTGTTTCTCTCGGGTCAGGTTGATGCAGTCCATTGGTCTGTTCATGGGCAGTGTAATCTCCAGTTCTTCTCTCTCCACAATGAATCTGGCATTCCCCTCCTGTTTGTGCACTAGGTGAGGCAGGTGAAGACCCAACTTACTGAAACAAAAAAAGATGCACAGATATTTACATACAGTATGTAGTGAATACTATGTAAAACATTTTACCTAATAGATTACTTACTACTTTGGAGTTCTGAGATCAAGAAATGTCTCCCTTACATCCAGCACCAAATCAGACGCTTTTGTATCTGGCAGTTTAACTCTTACCTTGCATGAGAAAAAAGAGAGATTTTGTGAGATTACACTGACAATACAACTTTTAAAATGAAGATCAGATCAGTCATTTGAGAACAGTCAGATGTTTTTACTCCAGTCAGCTTTTGCTATCTGCATGCACCATCAAAGCCAACTCTATCTCTTTCAGGGAGGAGAAAGGATGTTTCAGACCTCAGCCTTTTTTCTTTTTGCTAAATCTCGTTGCTGAATCTTAAGCTTTAGATCTTTGAAACTTTAAATTAGTTTAAAAGGGGGGAATTTATAGTGTGGAAATCCACAATACTTAAGAGTTGAGATTACAACTTATTAAATATTTCTCAACAGCTATGCTAATTACTGTGCATTGAAGTGAACTGTAACTCTTCAGAAAATTCCATGCAACTCTTAAGCAACTTAAAGGAATTGATCACCCAAGCTTGTTTCTTCATCTGAACAGATTTGGGGAAATTTAGCATTACATCAGTTGCTCACAAATGGATCCTCTGCAGTGAATGGGTGCTGTCAGAATGAGTGTTCAGACAGCTGATAAAAACATCACAATAATCCACAAGTAATCCACACAACTGGTTGATTAATTAATGTCTTGTGTGAAATGTGAAAAAGTCCATCCCTTATTGTCCTCTCAAATCAAAAGCCACCAACATATTTGTTTAGAACAGTTTTTGCTTGTAAACTGTGTTTGATCTGTGCATATCTCTCTCCTGATTCAGACAAGATGACTTTTTCACTGGAGAAAGCAATATTATGTACAGTATATAGGACTATTTCAGCTGGAAGCAAAGGTATAAAGTTAAAAACATCTTAATGATGGATTTGTTTCTTACAAACATGCAGACATTCACTTCACAAGATATTAATTAATGGACTGAAGATGTGTGGATTACTTGTGGATTATTGTGATATTTTTATGAGCTGTTTGAACTCTCATTCTGACGGCACCCATTCACTGCAGAGAATCTATTTGTGAGCAACTGATGTAATGCTAAATTTTTGAAGAAACAGACTCATCTACATCTTGGATGGCCTGAGGGTGAGTACATTTGTCAGCGAATTTTTACTTTTGGGTAAACTATTCCTTGAAGTAAATGTAATGTTTCTAACACACTTAACACTTCTAACACACATGCTGTATTGATGTTTAAGATTTAATGAGTGAGGAATAAGGAGTACCAGCATGCTGTCACAACACATGGATGAGGTGTCCTTTCTGCTCAAGCCAAGAAACAAATCTTCAGTCCCAACAGACTGTTTCAGCACAATCTCATACCTAATCAAAAACACACACGGTGAGAGGCCAGCTCACTTACAGCTCATATGTGATTCTGTCATGCATGTATTTTGTCTTACTCTGGCTGTGGCCTTGGGTCGGTGAGGTCATCAAAATGTGCTCCCTCAGTCACTTCATCCTCATCCCAGATGTTTTTGCTGTACTTCTTCACAGGCAGTGCTACCTAGAGGGAAGAGAGAGATAAAAAGGATATAGAAGGATGCTTTAATACTCTCAAAAGTGAACCCATAAATACCAGCATAATAATAAAAAAACATGTGACAATGTTTAACAAATTCAAAGAAATTATATAGCAATTTCAAAGTTAAAATACTATATATCAAAGTCAAGTCAAAATGTATTTCTATAGCACATTTAAAAGCAACAGAGTTGCGCCAAAGTGCTGTACAACAAAACACAGTATATAAAAAGCATAATAGCAAACATGCATTATATGAAAAATAAACACATTAAAATAGAATCAGAGCAAACTGACATCAAAACCTTAAACTGACATTAATCAAATGCCAGAGAAAACAAATAAGATTTGAGAATAGACTTAAAACTGGCTAGTGAGGAGCAAGTCTCACATTTACAGGCAAACTATTCCAAAGTTTAGGAGCTGCAGCTGAAAAAGCCCGACCACCTTTGGTTTTACTGCGACAACGTGGGACAGTTAAGAGATGCTGATTACTAGACCTAAGTGCTCTTTGAGGAGAGTAAGGAATCAGGTCACTGATGTTTTTTGGTGCAAGACCAGATAAAGCCTTGTACACAAAGACAGCTATTTTAAAATCAATTCTAAACTTTACAGGAAGCCAATGTAAAAACGGTAAAATTGGAGTAATGTGATCCCTCTTTTGTGTGTGTATATATATATTTATGAAATCATCTATATTAAATATTTGTATTATTCTAAAATTACTTTTAAATATGTATTATAAAATGTATTTATCTCTCTCTATATATATTACACATTATTAGGCTATATTACATAATTTTATGCTATATAAATGCATTATACCCTCTTTGTTGTTTTTTCCCGAAGGTGCACCAAGAGAGCCGATATGCCCCGGGCCCATCATCGCCAAGGGCTTCACTTGCTAAAAAAAAAAAATGAAAAAAAAAGGCGGTTAATTATTAGTGGACTTACATCCTTACGCAAAAATTCGACAGTCGACAATGTTAAGCAGCACTTGTTAGAAACTCAAACCTGGAGATCTTCTTCCTCAGCTTCATTGTTTGGGGAGAGCAGAGCGGACAGCGCCTGG